CGACATCAAACATGTACATGTCGACAAACCAACAGATAAGAGCAATTGAAGAGTTTGACATCATAAGGCTGGGAATTGTAGGTTCATTTTTGTATATGTTGGGTGGGAGACATAGCTGTCTTTGTTGTGAAGGATCTTTGAATTAAACTAGAAAGTGGTTGCTGAAAAGGAAAGGGAAAAAATTGGAGAGAAAAAGGTTTGGACGGTTTCTTGCTTGTGTTAGGTTTTGCCCTAAAACCAATATGCGAGTGGTCACATTTGTTCTTTCTTTCCAGTGATCATCACAGAACCCAAATCTTTCTTCTTTGATCGATCCATACATTAACCCAATTAACCACCATGTGGTGTTAGGTATATACATGCAAATATACGATTCTATCATCTTAATTATGTACATGCAGTACTTCAAACCATGTTGCCTATTTTTCTCTCTAATTATCGTTAACAACCATCCATGCATGATGGAGATTGTAAAAGCACAAGTTAGGATTCAGGAGGTTATGATTTCAAATTTTGACAACCATCATGTATGTGTTACCTCCGACAAAAAAAAAAAAAACACGAGTTGAAAAAACATCTAAAATTCTATATTATGTATAAGATAATTATTTGGATGCGAATCTTATAAGCTAGTTATTCAAACTTTTGTGCAAGTCAAACTTTGTTATTTGTCACCACCAACTATGTTTTATTTGTGACCACTTTGTGTGCAATGGAAGGATATATACATTCGAGGCACAAGGTAATCAATGCATCAACTAATATTTTTCCACCCATATCCTTTTCTCCTGACACAAGGAATTACTGCTCAGTTAAAACTTAATTTACAAAAGAACATAATGATTGATGGTATTATGTACGTAACTTTTGGTATTGATGAGAAGCCAGAGGGATCGATCCAAAAACTCGAAATGGGCAGTTCTAAAATTTGCTTTGGGTAGCTTTTCCTTTTTATTGCCTGTCAGCTCACCAGCCACAGCAGTCAGCAGGCAGATTCTAAAAAGGAATAAAAAACAGTGAGAAGCCAAACAGAAGACGACATTTTTGCTTTTATGAAGAGCAAAAGTTGAAAGATAGAAACAGCCCCACAGTACTACATATAATATAGCCTCAGCTCAGCAGCAGACCATGGCAGCAGCGTGATCGAATTGGTTTGTTTTTCTTTTGCTGTGAGCTTCTGCTGACATATCAGATAACACAAGAGAGAACTGAAAACCCTAACTTTGCCATTTGTCACTTTGCAATATATAATACGCAAACAGTGACGGTCCACGACCGAGTGCTGCCGCTGTAGGCTAGAAGCTAGACTGTGTTGTGTATATATTATGGCAGCTGCAGAGTGTGTACAGTACTATAGCAAAGACAGGAAAAGTTTGATCCTGATCATTGATTGTGTAAAGAGGATGGATGAATAGTGTTTTGTGATGATATCACATGTACCACAATTGCAATGGTTATCGAACCGGTTGAATATCGTGGATCGGCAAACCAGAATATGAATTGGTTGTAATGTACAATGTTGTTATATTTTCTACATTTAATTGAAAGATTAGTCGGTTTTATGATGAAATTTTTTTGTAGCAGTTTGACTATGGTTGGTTGGTGGTAATATATAGCACGAGGTGAGTAATGCGAAGGTTGTACGCTAATAATGTTTTCATCTACGGTTTAATGTAATTTCTAATTATATGTTCTGATCATGCGGAGAATTTCATCCAAGTGATGTTACTGCTACTAAGGTCAACATATATATCACGTCTAATAGACATATGTAAATGTCACATGTAGTTTCGAAACTCGATCTTTTTAAGTATAGCTTGATTATCCCCCCCCCCCCCCCCCCCCCCCCCCCCCCCCCCCCCCCGAAATGTTGATCTAATTATTTTAAAAGAAAATCGTTGATATATATAAAAGAGATAAACTCCTCAAGGGAGCTTCATCAAGTACGTACATAGTTAAAAAGACACGATCTTAACCACTTAAAACTACAACTTTCATTTACCACCAAGTCCTATACCAACCATGCATGCACATACACCCTAATCATGATTCATGGCCCACACCACAACAACCCGACCCGACATGGGTTCTCAATTTTCACCCTCTAGAAAGCAAAAAAAAAAAAAAAAAAAAAAAAACTAGTCTTGAGAATAACTGAGAAAGGAGTGCTCTGTAAAAAAAGAGGGCAGTCAGTAGTTGCAGACAGAAAGACAGCCAGAAAAGCCTTTCTCATGTATATGTCATAAAGCATGCCTTGTTCTCTTCTCCATATGTGAAGCCATGGAGTTCTCTCTAGCTAACTCTCTCGGCATATATGCCCAAACGACAAACCATCTTTCTAACCACTTTTCAAACAACTATTATTCTCTCTCTCTCTCTCTCTCTCTCTCTCAACAGTGACACAGCAGCAATAGAGGGGCAGAGAAATCAATCAATCAAATCCAAGTTCAAGAAGGGGAACATAGTTGCAGAGAGAATTGGAAAGCAAAAAGGAAGAGGAATGGTGGGGAGAAAAGTTTGAACTATGTATACTGATTGGATGACAATGATATGAAAGGCTAGCTAGGGAGGTAAGCGTTGCTTGTACTGAGGCAGACCACAGAATGGCAGAATGGAGAATCCCATGTGTTTGTAGTACGTATAGTCTTGTTTTTCCATTGCTAGCTAAGCGAGACAGAAGAAAAAAGCAAAAAAGCAGTAAAGTTTGTAACCTATATATATCTCAATAGTAGGGCTGCAAATGAGCCGAGCTGCTCGCGAGCGGCTCAGCGTTCGACTCGAGAAAAACTCGTTCGAAACTCTCGACTCATTAATAAACGAGCCGAACACGAGCTAACCTTTGTTCAGCTCGTGAAGCTCCTCGGTGGCTTGTTGAGCTAAACTCGTGAGCTGACTCGTTTAGAGCTCATGATATGTCTTAACATGTGGCTAGAGAGCTAACTCGATTATCAACTTATGGACGAATCAATCTATATCTTATGATTTAGTTCATATGTTTGTTAAATTATATATCTCACCATATATATAGTTTAACACGTTGAGTATGTGAGCAAATGTATCTTATTTTCTACTTTAAAAAGAAATTATGCATCATAGATTGCTTAGAAACTATGAAATAACATGATTTGAGAAAACAATAAGCGAGTTTGATGGTCAAGAGCCTTGCACTCTAGCAACTGATCCAGACGGTCTCTTGCTAAAAAAAAAAAAAAAAACAACAAAACCAACTCCACAACCCTTAACCCTATTAGCACGTTGTCTAAACTTGACTGCATGCATGTACTCATAAAAAAATCACACCATTGAGTTAAAAGTTGAATGCTTTTTAGTTTCACCGGCCATCCCACCTTTTTGACTGAAGTAAAAACAATTTAACTCACCTATGACGAAAGCACATATATGGTAAAGTCTTGTTCCCCAATAATTCAACACATCATGTGGAAGCTAAGCTGCCGGGAAAATTGAACTGTGGACTAGACTGCTTTTCTTCTTCTTTGAATGGGATACGTACAGAAGCCATTTGAATGGCTGATCACAGAAAGAAAAAAAGGAGTGGCTGTGGCTGTGGCAGAAGACAGTTTTTGCCCATTTAATGCAAAAAGGTTGGGGATGTGAGTACTAGTAGTAGCTAGGCAACTTTGATTAGGTCGTGTTTGTCCAATGACGTGCAACGCTCCCGGGATTGCCGCCGTGTTTCGGTTCCAACCAAACATGACATAAATCCATTCATTCAAACATCTGTTCACCTTGTTGGGTTGTGTGTTTCTGGTTTAATGATTCTTTCTTGGCGCCAAAGTCTTTACCCTGCCTGGGACACGGTGTGATCGATGCAATGAAAGACTAGCTAATAACGTTTTACTTCATAATAATGTGAATGTGGAAAATACTTACTTACTTACCTACCTACAAATGACACGTTTTCTTTGTGCAGCCTTGGTTTCATCACTTCACATTTGTGATCCCCTTTTAGACCTACATCGTGGCCATGAACACAAATACAACCAGACAAACGCTGCTTTGACAAAACTGAAAACCATGTCCATGAAATTGGCCCCCAAATTTTGGTGCAATGAACCAACCCTCTTCACCAGCATGCAGCAGGGCAGGCTGTACTTCTTCATCAATGTGTACGGGCCCACGGCCACCAACCATGGGCCTTGGCCTGTCAAAGAAGACACCTGGTCTGTAATGCTAGACTTCCACATTAGGGCTTTCGATTCGTAGTATTGGGCCTCATTGTATCACTTAGATCTAGTTCACGAAACTTAGGGACCAGTATATCGTATCGTTACAGAAAGAATCTCTGACCAAAACGTTCACCATGGACGAGGGGAAGAATCAAACACAAACAGTGCCAGCCATGCAAACACCTTTCTTCTCAGTTTCCTTTTATTCTTCTTCTTCTTCTTCTTCTTCCTCTCATCCCACGGAAAGGAAAATTCCGCGCCTTCTAGAGAAGGTGGGCCCCGGTGGAAAACATAACCGAATACAACGGCAATTTAAAAATCCCCCGGAGTGGGGCCCGGCCATAGCACAGCCGCACAGCCAGCCATTGACTGCTCTTCCCGCGAACCACGCTGGCGGGTCAAATCTGTTGACGGTTAACTGATCAATCTTCCTTCGGGTGAAAGGTAGACATAATTTGCTAATGATAATTGATTAAGGTTTCTGATTTTTATTCGGTAATCAAACTTTTAGTCTTTTGATAGGTAAAATGTACAAATTTGTCAAATTAATTGACCATAAAGGAATAAACCATTTCCATCAGAAGAAAAGAAAGAAAAAAGAAAAGGAATTTCCAACTCATAAAATAAATAACAGCCAAAAAAAACAATGCGCGAGCCAGAGAATCTTTTTTCTTTTAACAGTTTCGAGAGAGAGAAGCCATCTGCGGGACAGAGTTGCTTTCTTCTTCGCTTTTTTGGTGGGTTCTCGTCCGCCGCCGCTAATAATAGAACCCAGTGAGAGCGAGTAAGAGAGAGGGAAAAGGAGAAGGAGAGATGGATTCACCGACTTCGACGGCGACTTCAACGGCGGCGGTGGATTCGTCGACGACGGCGACGGTCGATTCGTCGACGTCGACGAGGATCGTGGGCTCGAGATCTTCGATGATCGATTCGATCCGTGGGTGCGGGCTGTCCGGTGCCCGAATCGACAAGGAAGTGCTGAGGAAGAAGCTCGTCATGCCGGAATACCTCCGGCGAGCCATGGCCGACGCGATTAGGTCGAGAGACGGGGAGGAGGCCTGCGAGCGCCACCACAACAGCGGCGAACTGAGAGTCCCCGAGGACGCGCCGCAATGCCCCATGGTGGTGTTCGTCAATTCGAAGAGCGGTGGCCGCCATGGCCCCGAACTCAAGGAGCGGCTCCAGCAGTTAATGAGCGAGGAACAGGTTAGAAAAGAGAGGGGTTTTCTTTCGATTACAAATTCTTTTAGGGTTCATGTCAGAGTGAAAGAGATTGGGATTGGGATTGGAATTAACCTAGCGCAAGTTATTAGGAACTTGGCGTGTTGAAATGTGAAGTGATGCGTAATGCAGGTTTTTGACCTCTCAGATGTGAAGCCTCACGAATTCGTGAGATATGGACTGGTATGTCTAGAGAAGATGGCCATCCTTGGTGATCTTTGTGCCAAAGAGTGTCGCGAGAAAATGAGGATTATGGTATGGTTACTGCCATTGTTTTGTGATCCTTGTTGAAAGGTGATGCCATTTCTGAGAGTGACTGACTTAGTGAGTTTTGTTTGTCTTTATGCTGTTGGTAAGGTTGCTGGAGGAGATGGTACAGTTGGTTGGGTATTGGGATGTCTAGCAGAACTTCACCAAGAGGGAAGACAGCCGGCTCCTCCGGTTGGGATCATTCCACTCGGTACAGGCAATGACTTGTCGAGGAGTTTCGGTTGGGTATTGACTTATATCATCCTTCTGTTTTCATGTAGTTTTTCAAGTTTTCATCTTTTGATGTTTTCTTTGTTCACCCTTTGTTGTATTACCATCATTTAGGGAGGTTCATTTCCTTTTGCTTGGAAATCAGCTATTAAGCGATCTCTTGATAGGGCCACTGCTGGGCCTGTTTGCCGTCTTGATAGGTAAGTCAGCTGCCACCATCCTCCTGTGGCTTTTTCTCCATTGGTTTATATTGTCTAAATATGTTAACTTACTTATCCAGGTTCACTTTCCCTTCTTTTTTTGGTAGAAAGGTTTATTTTTTTCTGTGTCTGTATGAGTTGTCTTCTTCTGTCTGGCATGGCTGTTCCCCATTTCTAGGCTTCTGTTTGAAGCTGTTCCTTACTCTCATGCCTTACTGCTAGATTTCTTTTAAAGTTTTTCGGTTGCAGTAACTCAGAGTGATCAATGATTTTCGTGTGGTATAGCTGGTGACTAAACAGCCTTGTCATGCAGTTGGCAGGTTGTGGTTTCGATGTCCGAAGGACAAGTTGTCGATGCTCCCTATTCCTTAAAGGCTACTGAAGATTGCCAACTTGATCAGGTTTGTACTACTGCATCCAAGTGTGCTGTCAACTGAGAATGCGGCGCAGGCTTTTATTTGCTGTTGAATTCCCCTGGTCAGACTTTCCTTCTTATAACGTTGGAGTTCTTGTGGACGGGTTACAGCTATCTGTTATATTTACACATTATTGTGGAGCAGCAATGGTTTATAGTGTGTTCTTTCTGCAATATTTTTGAAGTGAAAAGCAGTCTGTTTTTAGAGAGTGGTTGGGATCGGGAAGTGTGATCCATATTGGGAGTTGATATTATGATCGGGGGTCCTGGTTGTTAACAAAAATATTTCCTTGCGCAATAGGGTGTTCTTTTAAAGAGTATGGTCTTATGGTCTATCGATGCAGTTGTGTTGATATCTAAATGTTTGGTTCTCAGGATTTGGAAGTTGAGGGGCTGTTGGCTGAGAAAATGGCTTGCTATGAAGGAGTGTTCTATAACTACTTCAGCATAGGTATTACCTTGTGTTATTTGTATGCCATTGGAAAATTTGTCTGCTCAAATCATTTCGGTCAACTTACAGTTCAACTCCGGGTCTAAGTTTGTCCATTGTTACTGCCGTAATGCCTGTAACCATGGGTCTTAGATTTTTCTCAAGAAATGACACATCATATTTGTTGCCTTTACTTTAGAGGAACTGAAACTTTGGTTCCTATCAGGAAGCTTAACTTTTTGCTATGTGCCTACAGGGATGGATGCCCAAGTTGCTTATGGCTTTCACCATTTACGTAATGAAAAACCTTACCTTGCACAAGGTCCCATTGCAAATAAGGTTAGACAACTTTTCTGATTACTTTACAAGTTGCCAAAAGGACTTTGTAATGTTATACGGTAGACAACCTACTGTGGACACATTCCGACTCAGCATTCCTCCTCTGTTACGAAAATATATATTACGAAAATATATGATGATCCATTTCGCCAGAAAAATGGAATGCCAAATGCTATGTATGTCATGTATAGTTAGCATTTGCCAGCTCCAGTAGAAACTTCAAATTTTGGGTTCAAAAGATTTCTCTAATAGTTTCGGTTAATGTATCGACAATGTCCAAATGCATAAACCTTTCATCTTTTCCAATTTTTAGTGCCTAGTAAACTCATTTATTATATGTTTATACCATTTACAGTCCTTATAATCTCAAGTAGTAGTTCAGGAGACTATACTTTTGTTGTTTCTGGGGACAGTTGTTCGGCATCCCTATTAAATTATTAATCTCCTTTTGGTATGGTGCAGATAATATACTCTGGTTACAGTTGCACCCAGGGCTGGTTTCTCACTCCTTGCATTAACGATCCCGGTCTGAGGTTAGCTTATCTCCAACCAAATTGTCAATGATTCATTTCGAGGAAGCAGGAGGGAAACTTCCCTCTTGTTTGTTCACATATCTTGCTTTCGTTAGAATCTGATTTCATGAAGATCAATACTAACTCGAAGTTGATTGCTGCAGGGGGCTCAAAAATGTCATCAGGATGCACATTAAAAAGGTTAATTGCTCAGAATGGGAACAGATCCCTGTTCCTAAAAGGTAAAAGCCTGCTGTCTTTTGTTGTTCTTATCTTCAACTTGAAAGACTTTCACTGCTGTTTCCATTTATTTGCGTGTTGGTTCACCTTTGATCTTTGTTATCTGCAGTGTAAGAGCGATAGTTTGTTTGAACCTTCACAACTATGGAAGTGGGAGAAATCCATGGGGCAACCCAACTGCTGACTACTTGGAGAAGGTAATAACACACTCTTTCATATTCAAGGTCTTCAGCAAACTTTATACAAGGGAATCAGTTTTCTCCACTCTTGTTTCATTCGAGGGTATATTGACTTGCGCAAACAACATTTCCCGTCTATTTTGACAGAGGGGATTCGTAGAGGCTCATGTTGACGATGGTCTCCTAGAAATTTTTGGTTTGAAACAAGGGTGGCATGCCTCATTTGTGATGGTTGAACTCATATCCGCGAAACACATAGCCCAGGTACAGTAGTAGTTGCATAGATGTTTTTCCATGCATGTTTCAGCTGGCCAAATTTGAAACACGGTTGCACCCAAGTTAAAGATGCCAATTTGGTCATTTAACTCGGCTACATGCATCACATTGGGCACTGGATAAACTCGGTACTGAGACACCACCTAAATCACTGTAACTCGGCCAAAAAAGTCACCATTTAGCATTTCCACCTCCTTCAGTTTTTGCCGTCATCTTGCTGATCTGGAAGCACAACAAGCTGGAGAGATGACAATTCGAACAGTGACTTATTATGGCGAGTTTGGTACTTTAGTTGATCTCAATACCGAGTTTATTCATTGCACCAATGTGATGCATGCTAACCGAGTTCAGAGCAAATTGGTTTAGCCTGTAGAACTATATGCTTGAAGAAAACTAGATAGCACAGTAGCAATGGGCTTCAAAACGTCGGTTTTCTTGATTCAATGATTTCCCGTTTGCTCTATCTCAGGCTGCAGCGATTAGACTGGAGATAAGGGGAGGGGAATGGAAAGACGCGTTTCTCCAGATGGACGGTGAGCCATGGAAGCAGCCGATGAGCAGGGAGTACTCGTCGTTTGTAGAAATAAGGCGGGTACCTCATCAGTCAGTTATGATCAGCGGCGAGTAACATGACCTCCGAAAAAGGGGGGGAAAACCCAGTAGCTCTGTTAAGGGGAAGATTTGTTACATATTCTTGTTAATATTGCTGGGGTGGAAGGAAGGGAGCGCTGATAAAACTGTGTAACACGAGAAAAGAAAAAAAATGGTGTGTCCATCTGCTGAACCAAAATTTGTAACCATTTCTTTACTCTTTCCCTCTCCAGTGCGAGTGCCCCAGTGTGTGTGTGTGATTTTAGCCTAGCCTCCTGCCTACTGGCATTCCCTTGTATCGATAACTCATTTGAAAGTAGGTGTGAATGATCACTTTCTCCAGGCTAATCGTGTTGAAATATAACTGCATCTTCTGGTTTCCATCCTGGTAGATTTCATTTTACATCTACTGTTTTCTATTGGGTGCTTAACAAGAACCAGGGCTGCACAACGTTTCGATCCATGAAGCCAGCACTGAACTGCAGATACCAGCTCGTTAGATCAATCTTGTACCTTTATGCTAGTAAAGGGTCCTATAACGTATTGGGGTATCATCATTGACATTTCGAGTATGATCAATTATGTAAGCACCTCTAAAACATGCGTGTACCCCAAGTTATACTGATACATTCGACTCCCCTACAGCAACTTTCGGACGACATGCTGGCCATAGATACTATTCCTCAGTGGAACAACATATCAGTGAAGAAAAAATGATCCTTATTCCATGTCTTTGTCCAACAAGCTGAGCTTTTATCAACAGAGACAGCATAGAATAAGAAGTGAAGGCATCTATCTATGGTTCTGTCAATCTGTGTGTACATATGGATCTTTAGAGCACGCGTGGAGGCGTTTGAGTCACGGCCGGCAGCCAGTGCATTCTGTTCCCCCAAAGCCATTGATTATAGAAATGTATATATAGTGTGCATGTCAATCATGGATAAGCCGGTCCACTTGGTGAGTAAGTTGCTGCAAAGCAAACCCAATTGCTTGGCTCGACTTTTGCCATTATTCTGCTCGTTGAATATTATTGGGGTGGTCGACAGTCGACATATCTATCTGGGTTCTCTTTCAGAGTGACGTCTCCCACTCTCCCAGGTAGTTAGTGGGGTTGTAACTTGAAAGCAACTACCTAGAGAAGATCATATGGGAGTTCTATGACCTGATATATATGCTCCCATTTGTTTAGACCGGCGAGTCGATCGAATCGATTCTGGTAAGTGAAGATAACTCATGACCCGATTCGATCGACTTAATTCGTTGATTCATTATCGGTATCGTGTCTTGTGTTAAACTGATAAATAACATTGTATTAACAATTATACAAAATAAGTAATTTTTTTGTTGGTATATAACTCTGGTTACTATATGGAAGGGGGAAAAAAAACTACTTCATTCCAATAACTGAAGAAAGTTATGGGAAAGAGTTTATACCATATGATTCTCTCAACACTAATGGCTCAATAAAGTGACATAGAGAGAGGAGATACTGATACAGCTATTTGTGTGTAGTCCTAATCCATGAAACACTGAAAATGGCTTCCCCACTAGCTAGCAAGCAAGCCAAAGCATCCATGGCAACACTTCAGTCAAGTCAAAATTTTGTTCCTTATCTTGAACTATCATTGCACCATAGATAGTAAGTTGAAGGCAGCAGGCCATGGTTATTTAATTTTGGGGACAAACCCAAAAGGGGACCCTTGGTTTGGAGGGTTAGTGATGAGCCATCTGCATCATCTTAATTTGTGCAGCTTTCTAGTAAACCAGCTAGGCCCCCTTTTATGGCCTGGGAATGACAACTTGGCCAGGCCAATTTGTCGAGCCATGGGGAGGCAAAAGGTGAAGAGTCTCTTTGCCCCCATCATTTTTGCTAAACTGACTCAGCCTCCATAGACACCATATCTTGTTTGCTTGCATGGCAGCTTTGGTTCCATCTGCCTCCGCCCTTTGTGGTTCCTAGCTTGATTCCATGATCCCCTTCTAGAGCAAAGGTTTTTTTTGAGAAACGGACCAATTAAAGGGGTAGAGAAGGCTATATTATAATAGTAGATCAGGAAGAAGATAAGAGTTTATGGATACGAGGGTGTGCTGTTCTAAATGACATAGAGTCACTTATTGGAATGGATTTGGAGGTGTTTATGCCTTCTTAATCGTTCGTGCTCATCGATCCAATCTCTTTTCTCGCGGTTTCCTTTAATCTAATGATAGTTCGTGCTCATCAATCCAATCAAATCAGATAAAAAAAAATACAAGGTACTTCTGTCGACCAATTCTAACAACCAGATTGGTTGGAATATGCACCTAACTGGCCTACTGATGCGAAACCACAATGTCGTGTCAAAAATCAATCAGTTCCAATAACTCGAGTTATTGACACCAACTTCATTCACGACTAAGAGTAATTACATGCTTTTTCTAATCTAAATCACCTAAAGATACCATTTGACAAATAAGGGTCTAGCATTCAATTGCATATGTTCTCATATCCATAATAACATGGGGATCTCATCATCATCATCATCATTCCTCCATTTCTCCCCTGATCCCTTTTTCGAACCCCTTTTTTGTATGAGCAAGTTGAAGTTTGGAGATATGATCAACCGAGATATTTTATTGCTCATCAATGGATAGAATATATATTAGTTCCCCACTTCATAGATTTCTTCTTCCCCTTAATTATAACTCAGGAGATTATATTCTAATATCCTTCAAATCAATTATCTCCTTTTCAAATGTCGTCGCCATAGTGTTGTTTCCTACTATATACTGGTCATTGTGATAGACCAACAGTGAAAGAAACAGTGTAAATAGCAACCCATTCTCCGCATTTGGCTAAGGGTGGAATGGACACCACCCGGCCCGCCTTGAGCTAATCCAGTCACTTTTATAGGGGTTCAATTACACTTAAACAGTCACTAAACTTGGGTTGGAGCCTTGGAGGGGGTGATAGTACCAAATGGTCACTAAAGTTTGACATTTTTTGTAATGAAATCCATCGCTTAAGTTTGAAATAGTTAGAGAAATACTTTGCTCTGGATTTTACAGATTGGTGGGTGGCCAAATCACCCAACAAATAATAGAATATGTCACGTGAACTCTTTGAAGAAGTGTATGTGGTTTAGATTTCAGATAATGTGAATTCGAATTGGATTGGGCAATGTATCTGCTACGGTTTGTGAGTTGAAATGGGTAGTCTATGCAATGAGGACAAATTAGTATCAAACATTCGAGTTGGTGAGAAAGACCCATGTATGGATTTTGTACACTTCCTTATACAACCTCTCATACGAAAGTTAACTCACGAGATTGAAGTCTACACAAGCATATCATACCATGTACTTAAATCATTGTTAATATTAGTGATGATTTGAATACAAGAATTTCCTGTCAAATCTCGATATGATTCCATGAGAACCAATTAGTTAGTGAATTAATTAAGATGATGCTGATACATGAGTGTGCACATTTATGTGTCATTTGTCAACTCATGGTGAATGAAACCAAAAAGAACATTCTCTTGGGGTCAAAAATGTGAGGGGGGGGGGGGGGAACAAATCTTTCATCAAAGAGGGGATAAAGAGGTACATAAAATGTACACATAAATGGGGAAAAGAGATGAAAATTATATGATTCTCTTGAAAATCTTTCTCACACTTGCACCAAGTTTTGTCACAAAAAAATGTGGTCGATAGTGGGGTGCCACCATTATTGAGCTTGCTCTTGCATTGATCTAATCCGATTAGCCAAAGAGAGATGACACAAAGATATTCCCTAGTGTCCTTTGCATGGATTTTGGGTCACTTCATGTCATCCACCCACAAAAAATGTAAGTTTGGACATTATGAGCTTTTGTGAAAGGGGGGAGATGATGGTTGATTCCTTCAAAAATTTTGTTTGAAGATGCGATTAACTTTTTTTTATTCTCAAGTGTTTTTTGTTCTATGAATGAAGGAGAGAGAAGTGTTAGGTTTGTTTATTTTACTTTGTTTTACTCAAGATACTTACATATAGAACAAATCATGCGTCATTTATACATTCTCATAATTATATTCATTGAACTGTAAATATTTGTACCTACAATGAGATGGACCGTAGAGATGTCTATCCTTGAATGACATTGAACGTGCACTCCATATCTGAACACATAAATGCATGGCCTTGATCGGGTCTGATATCTTGTAAACAATTCCTTAAGTCATGTAGATAGAAGGCGAGTATGTTGTACAATCAACTGGTTATCTGATCCAATCCAACACCTAATGCTTTATCAATGTTTGGTCTAGTGGGTGCCTCGATAATATTGAATGTTTGATTACATAGACATTAGTTGCATATACAAGGTTTTCAAAGTTTTCTAGTAGTGGTGCATTGTTAACTTTCCATTGTAAGAAATAGGGTTCTCTCTTAAACCTTTTATTTATGTTGTTATAAACATAAGATAACGAGGCAGGGAGGTAGTTAAGATTTTATCATCTGTTATCTTAAAAGAGAAGTTCTCGTAGTTGAGATAGAATAATTTTGGAGTCACAACAAATCGGTTATCATGGACAAAGATTTTGATAAAAGGTTTACATTAAAGTTAGGGGTAATCCAAATACGACCACTTTCATTCATCTCCATAAGATTCTCTCGTTCCAGTTTATCGAGATTCGCATGCCAAATCATTGCGATCATCAGTAAATTAATATGAAAATTTTGGTATTAAGAAACTTGATGATGAAGAAAGCCACCACAGAGTGAATGTTAATTTCAGTTATCCCTAATTTCATTGCAACAAGTGCGTTACGTTTAACAATATTATTCAATGACCGATTCATGGATAACCGCACAAATTTGGTGACTATAGATGTAATTAACCCTAAAATGACCGTCCTAACCATCGAGGAGCTAAAGAGAACTGTGGTGCTGGTGGTGTTTTGGCCCCAAATGGCCAATTTATCATCAAGTGCTCTGAGCAGGGTTTCTGGCAGCTATGGGGCCATCATCCATGGATGTAATCTAACCTTTCTCTGTTTGTTTGTTTGTTTTGGGTGTCAT